GGATGTATTATATGGCTGTTTAAAGGAAGCTTTGAAAGCATAGAACCAGTTTCTTTCAGTATCAGATCGATACTAGGGTGATATGATCTGTACTTTGTTTCTATCCTCTAAGTTCAGTATATATATATTTAGAAATACAAAAAATACATCAGACATACACTGTGAAAAATATCTGAATGTCTTTGCAATACTTGATATTGATAGATACCAAAATTTGCATTATCGTAGACCACTCTTGCAAAGTCACACAACTTCACATCAGTTTGGTGAAGCTTGTTGCTCATACATTATAATTGCAAATCTCCTTCCATGTGTGGCATACACAATAACAGTGGAATTAAACTTTAGCACCCTTCATTCTTACCAGGTATGTCCACCACAGCCCTCCACGTTTCTTCCCAGGGCGGGCATACACGTGTTTACCCTCATGGGTGGTGGTGTACTTTAAGTCCTTCATCTCTCGATATTTGACATGGGCAACAACCATCAGCGACGGGCATGTGACGAAGATGAGCTGCAGGGCCCACAGGCGGATGTGGGAGATGGGGAAGAAGTGGTCGTAGCACACGTTGGTGCAGCCTGGCTGTTTAGTGTTGCATTCAAAATCTTTGCTCTCTTCACCCCACACTCGCTGAGCCGCCACCACAAACACCATCACCCGGAAGATGAAGACCACTGAGAGCCAGACCCGACCGAACACTGTGGAGTAATTGTTGACCCCACTGATGAGGTCCTCCAGCCAATTCCAATTCATGACTGCTGCCTTGGAGGGGGACAAGGGGACAGAAATTTGAGGAGTATGGTTGACCTCCTGAAGAGATCAGGTGGAATGAAGTTCCTGATCCAAACTTGAGCAATGAAACAAGAAAATATGTTAGAAGAATCTTTGTAGTTAAAATACTTGAAGCAGTATGATGCCAGTCAGTGGTTTGTAAAGTCCTGGTCCAAAAAGTTAAATATAATAAAAGCCTCTAATTTAAGTTAATGTCCTAAATAAAGATAGAAAGAAAATATTAACTTCAAGTACTGACTGAGACTGTAGTGTTTAGCTATATACAATGAGATCATATGCATGATACACACACACACACACACACACACACACACACACACACACACACACACACACAAAATTCTGTTTTATTCATTTAGTGCTAAATAACAACAACAGGTGCACAGTAAGGTAAAGACCCTACAATAATACAGAGGAAACCCCTACAATCATATGACCTATTTGAACAACTGCTTAGGCGACAGTGGGGAGGACGAACCCTCCAGAAATAAAATGCTCAATGTGGAAGGGAGCCAGTGATTAATAATAACTAATGATTAAATGCAGAGAGGTGTATAAACACATGGTGAGTGAAGTAGGTGAGTGAAGAAGTAAAATTCAGAGCATCATGGGAAGTTCTTCAGCAGTGTCTGTGAGTTTTGGAGCTGGTTCCACAGAAGAGGGGAAGAAGAGCCCTGATAGCTAAAGGCTCTACTTCCCATTTTACTTTTAAATACCCAAGGAACCAGAAGTAAGCCTGCAGTCTGAGAGTGAACTTCTCTATTCTATTGAGGTGATATGGTAGTATGAGATCTTTCAGATAAGACGTGGCCTGATTTTTCAAGACCTAGTATGTGAAGAGAAGGATCTTAAATTTAATTCTGGATTTAACAGGGAGCCAATGAATAGAAGCCGAAGTTAGAGAAATATGCTATCATTTAGCCCCTGTCAGTGTTCTTGTTGTAGCATTTTGAATCAACTGATGACTCTTCATGGAATTCTTTGAACATCCTGATAATAACGATTTGCAGTAGTCCAGCATGAACTTTCAGTTTCACTCTGAGACAGGGTCTCTGGAGGCCAATGCAATGCCATCCAGTGTATCTGGTTAGATCTAGTTAGATACATATTTCAAAGATTTTTTGGGATGAATATAATAGATGTATTAAGCTTAGTAGTGAGTTCAAGCTGACATAATGGCTCAGAAGTCATAGCAAACAAAAAACTTGACATGGAGTGTGCCTTTAAAGATTTCAGTATTTTAATTTTTTTATCTTGTCAACTCACAGCATTATGATCATCCTGTACATTTAGTGGCTGATGTTTGTCATGTGTGTGCCAAACTGTGTATGAGTGCGTTTCTTGGAGTATTTCTACAACAGCAACTACGAAGCCACTGCAGTTTTTTCTAGTAATGTTCCCCAAAACTAACAATTACAAACATGTAAGCTATTCTTAACTACTGATGAGTTAAATATGAAGTCTCACGAATTAAGCCATTGCGACTGCAAATATGTCAGCTGTTATGTCAAATATGTCATGGTTATTGCTCATTATTCTTTTGCTTTTCTTTTTTAATCTCTGTCTCATCCCACGAGTGAGTGAGTGAGTCACCATCAAAACTTTGCGCTTATGGAAAGAACCAAACCCACACCTGCGGCATTATAAGCCAGATCTTTGAAACAGCATCTTTGTTATCACATGAAATCCCATGTACAGACTAAGGTTTTTTGATTTTAGGATTTTTAGGATTTAGACATAAAGAAGTTCTGCTGTGCTAAAAGCTTCTCTTTCACATTTACATCTCATTCTGGTAAATGCACACAGCCTGACAGGGAACATGTTGGATAACAGCTTCACTGTCCACTCTTCTACTTCAGTTCTGTCACATCTAATCCCGACTATTTGAATTCAGAAACACTTTCTCTCAACATCTCAGCATCACTATAGAGATATTGAGCTGTCAAATCAGTTGCTATTTTCTCTATTATCCAGCATTCCTGACTATTAAATTACACAGCATAAA